GGTGGAACGGGAGATTCGCATCATGGATGTGCAGCCGACAAATCTGCGGCAACTGTGTGATGCCATCATGTCAATATGGACCAAACTCCCTGAGGAATGCTTCCAGCACCTTGTTGAATCTATGCCACGAAGAATTGAGGCAGTTCTGAAGGCAAAAGGGGGTCCAACCCGTTACTAGCATGGTGTACCTAATAAAGTGGCCGGTGAGTGTATATATGTATGTATGTGTATGTATGTATTTTTATTACAAACCTAATTCCATAAAAGTTGGGACACTGTACAAATTGTGAATAAAAACAGAATGCAATGATGTGGAAGTTTCAAATTTCAATATTATATTTAGAATACAACATAGATGACATATCAAATGTTTAAATTGAGAAAATGCATAATTTTAAGGGAAAATAAGTTGATTTTAAATTTCATGGCATCAACACATCTCAAAAAAGTTGGGACAAGGCCATTTTTACCACTGTGTGGCATCCCCTCTTCTTTTAATAACAGTCTGCAAACGTCTGGGGACTAAGGAGACAAGTTGCTCAAGTTTAGGAATAGGAATGTTGTCCCATTCTTGTCTAATAAAGGCTTCTAGCTGCTCAACTGTCTTAGGTCTTCTTTGTTGCATCTTCCTCTTTATGATGCGCCAAATGTTTTCTATGGGTGAAAGATCTGGACTGCAGGCTGGCCATTTCAGTACCTGGATCCTTCTTCTACGCAGCCATGATGTTTTAATTGATGCAGTATGTGGTTTGGCATTGTCTTGTTGGAAAATACAAGGTCTTCCCTGAAAGAGACGATGTCTGGATGGGAGCATATGTTGTTCTAGAACTTGGATATACCTTTCAGCATTGATGGTGCCTTTCCAGATGTGTAAGCTGCCCATGCCACATGCACTCATGCAACCCCATACCATCAGAGATGCAGGCTTCTGAACTGAGCGCTGATAACAACTTGGGTTGTCCTTGTCCTCTTTAGTCCGGATGACATGGCGTCCCAGTTTTCCAAAAAGAACTTCAAATTTTGATTCGTCTGACCACAGAACAGTTTTCCACTTTGCTAGAGTCCACTTTAAATGAGCCTTGGCCCAGAGAAAACGCCTGCGCTTCTGCTTCCCGTTTAGATATGGCTTCTTTTTTGACCTATAGAGTTTTAGCCGGCAACGGTGAATGGCACGGTGGATTGTGTTCACTGACAATGTTTTCTGGAAATATTCTTGAGCCCATGTTGTAATTTCCATTACAGTAGCATTCCTGTGTGTGATGCAGTGCCATCTAAGGGCCCGAAGATCACGGGCATTCAGTATGGTTTTCCGGCCTTGACTCTTATGCACAGAGATTGTTCCAGATTCTCTGAATCTTTGGATGATATTATGCACTGTTGATGATGATAACTTCAAACTCTTTGCAATTTTTCTCTGAGAAACTCCTTTCTGATATTGCTCCACTATTTTTTGCCTCAGCATTGGGGGAATTGGTGATCCTCTGCCCATCTTGACTTCTGAGAGACACTGCCACTCTGAGAGGCTCTTTTTATACCCAATCATGTTGCCAATTGACCTAATAAGTTGCAAATTGGTCCTCCAGCTGTTCCTTATATGTACATTTAACTTTTCTGGCCTCTTATTGCTACCTGTCCCAACTTTTTTGGAATTTGTAGCTCTCATGAAATCCAAAAGGAGCCAATATTTGGCATGGCAATTAAAAATGTCTCACTTTCAACATTTGATATGTCATTTATATTCTATTGTGAATAAAATATAAGTTTATGAGATTTCTAAATTATTCTATTCTTTTTTTACTCAAAATTTGTACAGTGTCCCAACTTTTTTGGAATCGGGTTTGTAATTTTTATTGTTATTTACCTGTATTCTGTAGGGATGCACCGAAATGAAAATTCTTGGCCGAAACCGAAAATCGAAAAAGAGGAAACCAAGGCCGAAAACCGAAAACCGAAACACCGAAAGAAATTATGCCAATTATTAGTATCATTGCATTTATGGCTATCAGTGATGCGCGGGTCAATGTATAAACAAACCGCAACCGACCGACATTTTCAACTACCCGCCCGCAACTCGGACCGCAAAAAAAGTAAAAAAAATATTGTACCCGACCCACTTCCTGACCGCATTTTTTAAAAGTAGTAAATGCTCATCGGAGCGTTATTGGGCCATAGACGTGTAACAACACAGCATCGCAAGAAGACGTAGGCCTGGCCTACACATAACAAAGGCAAAGCCAGCACTTTGGTCATCATATTTCATTATTTCAGCAAATGTCTCCCACACTTTTACTCTTTCTATTTGTGTATTTGCGGAGCTTCCACTCCCCAGTCTTCACCTTTTCTCTTGCCGCCTCCATCTCTCTGCAGACTGTAGTGATCAGACATGGCCGGTTCGTGAACGAATCGTTCTTTTGAACCGGTTCTTTTTAGTGAACCGGTCGAACCTACACTAAATCGAACTGAATCGTTCGAAAAAGTTCGCGTCTTGCGTCAGTGCTGCTCCACAAGTTAGTTACTTACTTTCAGACATGCCTGACAGTCGCCTCCGAATCGAAATAAATCAATATCCTGAATTCTATTTTACTCCAGTAACTCCAACAGTTCACTGAACCGAGACATGTTGGTGCCACTGTTGAGAGAAGTGATGAGCACGAGCAGCTGATACTGCGTACTACCGAACGCACAGGGACAGCGGTTCTCGAATAGAACCGAGAACTGTTTAGACTGAGCGCCAGTTGTTATCTTCGTGCCAGTTATTCAGCCAATAATGTGTAGGGCTGTGTATTTCATCAAAAATTGTGTCTAGTACTAATACAAATGTTTAATTGGCATCTTTTTTTCAAACGACCCGACCGACCGCGACCCGAATATCATTAAAAACATTTTTGGATGACCCGTAACTGCGGGTAACCGCGGGTGACCGCAGGCACCCGTTCATTTCGGATCAACCCGCGCATCACTGATGGCTATGACTGTGTACAAACTTTACTAAAATCAAGGCATTGCAATTGCATAAATTAATATAACATCTTCAAAGAATAAATCAATTACAAATTATGCAAATATTTATTTAGCACAATGCACAGTATAAAATAAAATTCAAACTAAAATGTTTAACTTGACCCCACTCATGTGTACACTAAATAATAATCTACTGGCCTGCAGAAAGGTTTTAAAATGAAATGTTCTCTCAAAAACAAAGCCAAGCGCAAACTTCTCATCACACTAGCACCCATTTTGCATGTCTAAATTAGTTACATTTTAAAAATTTAGCATACAATAACATAAAAAGCCTTTTTAAATGAACAATGGTCCATGTTTAATACAAATGTACATGAAACTAATGAAACATGTTTAGTGAATGTAGAAAATATTTAAGAGAGCATTAATTTAGTTCTATACATACATGTTCCCATATACATATTTTTTTGTAATGTCACAAGTAATAATCTCAGGGTTTACTGGGTTTTACATGATTATTTTTGTATTGGTGGTGGAATACTAAAAAATAAACATTGTCATGTATTTATCTTTCTTCTTCTCACCGATTCCTGATGGTTAGAGGACAGTTACTTGAGTCGTCCCCTGTCGTTTCAAGGAATAGTACAACGGAGAGCGCGTCAATTATAAACGTCTCGACCGTTTGGAGCGGTGCACGCGCTGTTTGTGGAGACTCGCGCTGCCTTGTTTACTTTCGCCTGCCTCTGCAGCGCGAGTCTTATTTATAATTTTTAATTGTTTCATCCACCTATATCTGCTCTAAACAATGCGTGCCGCCATGACGACGACTCCGTTTGCGAGCGGATCAAGAGCGGTGCGCGCGCTGTCTGTGGAGACTCGCGCTGCCTTGTTTATACTTTCGCCTGCCTCCGCAGCGCGAGTCTCCACAGACAGTGCGCGCACCGCTCTTGACCCGCTCGCAACCGGAGTCGTCGTCATGGCGGCACGCATTGTTTAGAGCAGATATAGGTGGATAAACAAGGTTTCCGTCTCATCGCGGGTTCAGATTCACTGAAATACGTCCACACCAGAGACATGTTGCTTCAGACAAGCACGTGCAGGTCGCGGTTTCTGTTTGCGTCATCACAACATTTCGGCCGTACTGTTTCGGTGATAAAAGTCTTTCGGCCGAAAACCGAAAATGCCCTTTTGGGCCATTTTCGGCCGAAAATTTTCGGCGGCTGAATATTCGGTGCATCCCTAGTATTCTGTACTTGCTTTTAATTGTTTTGCCTGTAAAGCACTTTGAACTACATTCATTTGTTTGGAAAAGTGCTATATAAATACAATTTGCTTGCCTTCTTTGCATAACAATTTTAAAACAGTTTAATCTGAAATCAATATCTCGTACCCCCTTTAGGTGTGTGTGTTCTCAAAATAAACTCCCTTCAGGTGTGTGTGTGTGTTTTATCTCAGAATAAACCCCTCCAGCTGTGTGTGTGTGTGTGTGTGTTATCTCAGAATAAACCCCCTTCAGGTGTTTGTGTGTGTGTGTGTGTGTGTTATCTCAGAATAAACCCCCATCAGGTGTGTGTGTGTGTGTGTGTGTGTGTGTGTGTATATATTTTAAATCATTTTGAAGTCATCTTTAGGCCCTGGCTGCGAACAATTTAAAGGGTTTAAAGGGACCATACACACAAAAAACAAACAGTCATCATTTACTCAAAAACACGGACATTCAATTTATGGGAAAAACGATGAGACATTTTTCACAATATCTTCAATGGGCTTTATGGACAGCTGCACTACTTCCTGAACTTCAGCCAGCTCCTTGTTTCCTGTCTGCCATTATTGGGCAAAATTGATTAATTCAGGTGTGTCTGATTATTGTTGCCATGACTACTGAGGTCAAGCACACCTGAATTAATCAATGTGTCCAATAATGGCAGACATGAAACAAGGAGCTGGCTGAAATTCAGGAAGTAGTGAAGCTGTGCATAAAGCCAATTGTCTCACAGAATCAAGAGTTTTTTAAAGGCGAGTAAATGATCTGAACTCACCGTTGATGGCCATGGCAGGCATGACCAGAGACATCTTGGGTCGAGAGGTTTTATTGTGGCTGATGGCGGGTAACAGCAGGTGATCCTGCAAAAGCCAAGGATGATGTGAGCATGTGTGTGAGAGTGTGTGTGAGTGTATGTGATGGGTAGGGTTAGTGTAAGGAGACAGAATATACAGTTATTACAGTATAAAAGCCATTACGTCTATGGAGAGTCCCCACAAAAATGGCAAACCAGACAAGAGAATGTGTGTGTGTGTGTGTGTGTGTGAGAGAGAGAGAGAGAGAGAGAGAGAGAGAGAGAGAGTGAGTGGAGTGTGTGTGTGAGAGAGAGAGAGAGAGAGAGAGAGAGAGAGAGAGTTTGTGTGTGTGTGTGTGTGTGTGAGTGTGCGTGTAGTCTCACCCGTCTGAAAGACACAACGTAGAAGGTGTCCTCGCGCCGGTCGATGGCATCCATGAAGTCGCTGTAACTGATCTCCGGCCCCGGCAGAACCTGCAGCTGACTGACACACACATCATCAGGTCACATGACAGCTGACTGACACATCATCAGATCACATGTCACATGACCTGCTTTGCTCAGAGGCTGCTGGGAAATAAAGTTACCTTTCGATGGACCGATGAGCCTGGATTGGAAGGTACCTGGAGAAGTTAGTCTTTCTGTGCTGAGCTTTCTGCTGATGAAGGGAAAGAACACACACCAAAGATTATTCAGACACCAGATATAATTTTTGATACTGTTTCCACTAGTGTGTGCAGGACACTATAGTTCATTTATGAAAGCGAGGAGAGCAATATAAAGTTAACTGTGAACATCTGAGACCAATAATGATTCCTCCACTTTGAGCTGAAGTGTGTTTTCTGTAATTGCTAATGCTCTTTTACACACACACACACACACACTGAACAACATGAAGCATTGCTTGGTCAGTGGTTGAGCTAAACTGGTATTATCTATCTGTGTAGTTAAATTTAACAGCTGACAGATATTCAACATAACTCATATGTGAAAGTCTAACAGAGGACGGACAAAACCAGTCAATTATCCACTGATCTGAGAAATGACTTCTGCTCATGTTTATAAACTGTTGTGAATAAACTGTAATAATGTGAGAAATGTCGAAGGTGTCTGAGTGAATGTTGGTTTGACTGTATAAATCCTGCAACACAAGCTGTTCTCACAGTGCGACACATATCCGCCGCGATACGAGGTGTGTGGTTTCACACCTGAGCTATTTTAGTCTTCTTCACTGCTTTGGTCTTTCCATCAGACTTCCGGTTGTTCTGGTGTCGGTTCACCCATCCGCGCAGCTCATCCGCCAGCCTGAGGATCACACGGGAGTCAAGCAAACACTCGAACAAACATGAAGATCACACGAGAGTCAAGCAAACACTCGAACGAACATGAGGATCACACGGGAGTCAAGCAAACACTCGAACGAACATGAGGATCACACGGGAGTCAAGCAAACACTCAAACAAACATGAAGATCACACGAGAGTCGAGCAAACACTTGAACGAACATGAGGATCACACGAGAGTCGAGTGAAGGGGTGGTCAAAATCCCTTGCCTCTTCAGCATACATCATATATCCTTTTGAATGCTTATGTTTTCTTTTATAAAATCAATAATTAAGTATATTCATTATTACTTAATCATTTATCGACATATACATTTATTCTTTGTGCTTTTGCTTGTGAAATAATATTCTTAAATGCATGCTGATGTAAGTCACCAGCTTCTTTTAGGTGCACAAGGCCATTTGTCTGTTTCTCTGGTCTCAGGAGAAAGGTTTATGGATCCTAAAGGCGTCATGAACACATATGTCCAACACATATGATACTTCTCTGTACAGATGGTCAAGCTATATTGAACTTTAATTGTTGTATTAAAATGTATTCTTTCTATTATATTTGCTTTCTGAGGAGCAAATAATATCTATTTTTCTCCCAAACGAGTGAATGTTTTACCATTATGTTTTGGTACACTTAACTGATAATAAACCGCTCAGACTCTCTTCAGCCTTGATAGGAGCACTTATTTGCTAGTGTCCTATGTGGATGCGGTAACAGTGAAAATAATAGAGAAATAGGGATTTTTTGGTTTATGTTTGAGTGTTAAAACATAAAGGGGTCATTGAAGCCAACAGTTTAAGGCACCATTTCTTTGTTAAAGTCTTACTCCAGTTAGACTAAAGTTCAGTGCTAGTCTTCTTGGTTGCAGGTTAAGGAACCACTGCCATTATTGGAGGTTGAATGAGTTGTTGTTCTGGACATACTGGTGCCAGCAACCCAAATCTGTGACCTGGAAGGTCATGACGTCCCTCTTAATGTCATATACATCATCGATGGAGATATGCTTCGTCTATCTGTATATGTGTGGATAATTACTGTGTTTATCTATTTCTTAGCCAATGAGAATCATTCAACGTGTAAGCAATGACGTAGCTTAGACCTTGAAAATGGTATAACTGCTGTGATTGTTGGAACTGTAAGGGGGCAGCCTACGAACTCCTGTGTGAGTCTTGAAGCTGACTTCTGCTGATGAAACTGAAAACTATGTTCAGTAAACTTTTCTTTAATTTTTATAATTCTGACTCTGGGTCTTCATTCTTCATATCTGGTTCTGGGTCCTTAAACTGTTAACGCCTAACATAAGCAAACACTCGAACAAACATGAGGATTACACGGGAGTCAAGCAAACACTCGAACAAACACAAGGATCACACGAGAGTCAAGCAAACACTCGAACAAACATGAGGATCACACAAGAGTCAAACAAACACTCAAACAAACATGAGGATCACACAAGAGTGAATCAGTAATGTTCTTACACTGACCTAAGCGACTCAGAAACACAAACACACACACACAGACCTAAGCGACTCAGAAACACAAACACACACACACAGACCTAAGCGACTCAGAAACACAAACACACACACACACAGACCTAAGAGACTCAGAAACACAAACACACACACACACACTGACCTGAGCGACTCGGAGCGGTTGAACTGTCTGCAGTCCGGAGAGGAGAAGTACCGGTCGATGTCCTGCAGAACACTGAACACGTCGCTCTCATTCCTGAACACAGAACACACACACTAACACAATGACCTCAGGTGTGTATATGTGTGAGAGAGAGTGTGTGAGTGTGTCTGTGTCTGTCTGTCTGAGTGAGTGAGTGAGTGAGTGAGTGAGTGTGTGTGTGTGTGTGTGTGTGTGAGTGTGTATGTGAGCGAGTGAGTGAGTGAGTGTGAATATGTGTGTATGTGTGTGTGTGTGTGTGTGAGAGAGAGTGAGTGAGTGTGAAGCCCCGTTCACACTACATGCCACCAAGCGACACGATACCATTCATTTTCAATGGTGAGCGGGCGACTTCCAGTGACACGCACGGTTGCAACCGTTGGCGACCGGAGGGGCGTGTCCAGCGACGTGACAAAGTTGAGAAATTTTTAACTTTATGCAAATGAAGAGCGATTTTCGCGAGCGACAACCAATAGGAGTGAAGTCAGTGGAGTGCGTCACTCTTCAGTGCTGAATCTGACCTGAGGCAATCTGAGGCAAGTTGAACGAGAAGCTCATTTTAGCAGTCAGAAACTGTCCTATAATGGATGATATATCTCCGCGTACATACAGTGGTGTTCACCATACTGACTCCGTGACTGAATGGTTTTGGGAACCCAGACAGACCGGTATTTGCACGTGTGCAGCAGTTAAATAGCCACGATGGCAAAGAGCACTCACTGTTTCTCGTTCATCTTTAATATTATGCATTTTATGTACTGATTCCATTTATATTTAGACTTTTCCTTTCAAAATATTTGTTTGTAGCTGTAATAAAATGCATTTGTTATCTAACTGAATGTTACTCACATACATTACTAGGCAACCAGTAGTGGGGAACGCCCTTCAGCACAGCCACTGGCGACCTGCAGCGACAAAGTCCCGTGTAGTGTGAACAGTGCTTGAGTGTGTGTGATGTAATAAAATTCTTATTACATTTAAGATGTTTTATGACTTGTTATGACTCCGCGGAAACCGTGAGTGAGTGAGTGAGTGTGTGTGAGTGAGTGAGTGAGTGTGTGTGTGTGTGTGTGTGTGTGTGTGTGTGTGTGTGTGTGTGTGTGTGTGAGAGTCTCACCTGAACGGATACGAGATTACACTCTCCTTCTCCAGCTCCTCTTCTCGCTCCGTGTTCCCGATCGACTCCTGAGAACTCTGGAACTCCAGCAAGTGTCGACCGGTCAGAGGAACGGCTTCTTCCTCCAGCGAACGCTCTCGCAGACTGAGACACACACACACACACACACACACACACACACACACACAATACAGAGTTTCATTTCTGATACAAATTTAAAGGAGCATTTTACTCATTGCAACATTAATCTTCATTGAAAGTGGATCATATATGTAGTCGAAATGTAAAATAATTTTTTAATTTGGTGCCCTCTTGACCGAGAAAAGACAGAAAATAACCAAGGGGCGCCTTTGTGTTAAAAAACTACAGTTCCCAGAATGCGCCAAAATTGCACAGCTCCGCAAGCCACGCCCACTAACCCACCCACCCACCGGAACAGCGCAAAAAGAGGCGCAAACACACTCTTCCGTCTACAGCGCTAACATTAACGTTAGCTGTCACCAGAGTAAGAGTTTGAAATTCATTTCAAACAAAATGTCTAGTTAGTTGGCTGTGGCGAGCAGGACGATCGAGGGCGAGCGATGTAAGAGGACGGCGCGCTGCGCGAGGCCGGTGGCGTGAGTGATAACGAAAGACACCTGTAAGGCGCGCGCCGGTGCGTCTCTCACGAAGGAGCGAATGCATAAAATGGGGACCGACGACGGCCGATCGAGAGAGAAACAGGCCTGATTTTATGTTTATTTGTTTCTGTTGTGTGTAACGCTGGCTTACTTTTGTTTTGTATTTGTTCGTTTTACTATTAAAATGTTTAAATGTTCGCCGGTTCATGTCTCTTTCTTCCCACAACAAACCCCGTTCACGTTACATTTGTAAACACATTAGTGAATTACTCCGCGTTTGTATTTATTTCTGTTTGGTGAATTACTGCATGATACCTGGATGTTCTGAAGGCGAAACTAGCACAACACAAACGTCCGTGTGCTCGTCTGATTCAGAGCTTTCCTCCAGGAGAAATTGCTATCGTTGAAATTCTCTGCAGCAGACGGACTCTGTGTCCGTAGGCCGTGACACGCAGCGAGAGTACAGGCAACAGCAGGCCGCCGAGCTCGACCCAGTCCGGGCGTCTCGACCGACAGCCAGGCGTCTCCTGCTCGTTCATCAGCCTCAGCTGCTCTAAACTATACTGCAGCTTGTAAAGATAGTCACGAACATCGGATTCGAGCAGCAGACTTTCAAAACCCTCTTCTTTCATATCATGTTTAGTTTCTTCCATCATTATCATAACTTCATATCTCCACAGGGCTTGTTAGCTTAGCTTCCAAACAAGATGGCGGATATTGATTTCAGTCTCTGCAAGTGAAGTCCTACCCACTGATCTGTAATAGGCCTGTGGGTGAGTGGGTGCCACACCCTTGAATAATAATGAGCTAATCATTGTAGTCAGTTGACATTTCAATGAAATGTGACTTCCTGCTTATCGTGACGCAAAATGACGATTTTTACGTCACGATAAGCAGGAAATAAAACACTTAAATCCTTATTTCTCCCGTCTCAGGGGAAAATAAGGAAATAAACCATGACCATTCAAAAATATGACTAGGTTTCTAAAGATACAAAGCTTAATGCAAATGGGTGAAGTGACCCTTTAAGCTGATGATGTTCTGCTGAAGTGTGTTTTCTGTAATTGCTAATGCTCTTTTTACACACACACTGACCAACATGAAGCACTGCTTGGTCACAGGTTGAGCTAAACTGGTATTCTCTAATTGTGTAGTTAAATTTAACAGCTGACAGATATTCAACATAACTCATGTGTGAGAGTCCAAAAGAAGGACGGACAAAACCAGTCAAATATCCACTGATCAAATATCCACTGATCTGAACTGCTCATGTTTATCAGCATTTTCTAAAGTATAGCGAATTAACTGTGATAATGTGAGAAATGTTGATGATCCAGTCATCAGTTACTCGCTCCAAACGACTGTCACTCAACCTCAGAACACAAACGAGGAACAGTGCTCCTACACACCCCTGATCAGACCTGCAGATCTGGATGACCTGGTTTAGTTTGTTTAATAATATTTGGATTGGAAGCGCTTCAGCAGGAGAACGCAAGAGTCGAGACTATTCTGTGCGTTAGATCCAATCATTACTGACCGATTACGGAGGCACCTGTAAGAGAACTGGGTCCTCACTGTAGAAAACAGTTATTATGATGGAACTGAACAACAATGGTTCCTGATCCCAGCCCTGGCATTCAGGTGTGTGTGTTTCTGTGTGTTTTTTTACCTGACGGGGCCGAAGGTGAAGGTGACGAAGAGGAACAGAGCCATCACACACACCGCTCTCTTATTGCTGCCCGATTCTGTGGCCTGATTCACACAACACACAATTACACCGTATGAAGAAGCAGTGAGGTTTTATTCTGCAGTGTGAGAAAATATGTGTGTGTGTATGTGTGAGTGAGTGAGTGAGTGAGACCTCTCTCCCGGCGAGTCTCATCCGCAGCTCCTGGTTCTCTCTGCGCAGGCGCTGGTTCTCCTGGTGAGCTTCTCTCAGCTGCACCTCCAGGTTCTGCAGGTACTCTTTCTTCTTCTTTCGGCTCTGACAGGCCGACTCGCGGTTCTTGATCATGCGCTGCTGCCGCTTCAGAACCTTCATCTGAGGAACATACACACACACACACACACACACACGCTTCAGCACACCTGTCTCAGACACACCCTGAGATGCAGACACTGGTCACTCACGTCGATGTCTCCGCAGCTGGAGGGGGGGCCGGGTGCGGGGATGATGGGTTTGCTTGGGGGCGGGGCTAATGGGCTCCTGCAGTGAGGCATGCTGGGAGAAAGCGGCTCCATCTTTACGACAGCGGGAGCAGAACCCAGACACACGGACTGAGACAGAACCACTGCAGCACAGAGAGAAAAACAACCCTGATGACAAATTCTCACAGTTTCCACAAGTGTGGCGATGAACAATTCATAATTGTCAAGTAACAGCATGAACTCTCATCCCAAACGCATGCACTCAACTGAGCCGGATCATTTTATATCCAATTATAGATATCCTGTTATAGAGATCTCACTGATTTACAAGCATCAACATTAAGATTTTTCCCATTTTGTACATATAAATATCTGTGCCCATAAGAAAAAAAAAAAAAACATGCTTTTGTAAATCAATTAAAACATAAAAATGAGCAATTGGCATATGAAGTCATAATTTAGACCTTTTTAATATCAACTATAATTTAATCATAATTATATTTTTGTTTATTTGTCCGATACTTGCTTTTTTCACATTTATATTGGTTTACATTTGGTTTTTTTACTGTTGCATTTTTATGTACTTAATATACATATATATATATATTGTCATAAATTGCACTTTTTATCTCATAATTAAGATTTTCCAAAGCATGGTTTTTCCCCTTGTGTGGCAGAAATTAGCTTTCCTAGATATTCCTGGATATGTTGTTGATGATATTGTTCAATAAACAGTTCCAATTCTAAACACAAGATGTGTGTGTGTGTGTGATCTCACCAGGCGTGCTCTGGTCTACGGGAGAAACAGGAACGGGAAGGCTCTGCAGGATCAGGGCTTTGGCTGGGCTCGACACACACACGGGTTTGGGCTGGAGCAGAGGTTTGCTGCTGAGAATGCTGGAGGCCTTCTGGGAGGCTGAGGAACACAGGAACACATCAGGAACACGTGTGTGTGTGTGTGTGTGTGTGTGTTTGTAACACACCTGTGGTTACAGTGACCTCTACCCCAGCTAGCGGTCTGTGTGTGTGTGTGTGTGTGTGTGTGTGTGTGTGTGTAACACACCTGTGGTTACGGTGACCTCTACCCTGGCTAGCGGCGGCGACAGCACATCTCCACACATGTACGGTGGAGTGGGAGGATTCTCACTCTTCATCACCTGAGGAACACAATCACACACTGCATGAGCGAAGTGTGTGTAAGATGATGTTTGCTCAGCTAAACAGATAACGACACTCATGACAGCAAACACACACACACACACACACACACAACGCAAGCCTTGAAACATGTAATCCAGAACTGTTTATCGTTTTGGCGCAGTGAACCGGGATTACCCCGACGCCGCTCATCAGTACAGAGGTCAAGCAGGGTTACATTTACCTCATTGTAATTTTTAACAAGTTTAATTTTCACCTGAAGAAAAACTGACGTACCTGATATAATATATGCAAATTATGTGATATCAGAATAAACTGAGATTTGTGGCATTATTTAGTGCGTCAGTGCTTTAACTGAGTCACCGGGTCAGGTAGACTGAAAGAGTGAACAGTGAGGACATGTGACAGTGCAGTCAGGTGTGTGTGTGTGTGTGTGAGTGTGTACCTGAGCTTCAGGTAGAGACGGGATAGAGCTGTCAGAGGTCAGAGACGAGGACGGGGATGGAGGCTCGGTCTTCACCTGGAAAACTGCACACACACACACACACACACACACACACACGAGTTTGTCAGTTATGCTGTAGTTTTATTAATAAATTGAATATTTGGTTTATATGGTTGAATATTTATCATGATTTTAATGCACTAGAGCTGTAAATAAGGTTTGGGAATATGCTGCATGTTAACACTGCTATAAGCAGAATATTAATACTCATAATACTCATAAACAGAGGCTTACACATGTCCACTGGCAGAGGTTGTGTTATTCTCATCTCATCCTTCATGATCGGCATCTCGCCTACAATTAAAGAAACAATTTATACACACATCAGAGACACGCACACACACACATCACAGACACACACACAAACACACACACCAGAGACACGCACATACACATACATCATTCACACACTCACATCACACATCAGAGACACGCACACACACAGCACATTTACACATGTGAAAGTGTGCTAGTGTAATATTTTTATAAATATACAGTATGTAATGATAACATGGTGAGCGGGTCATTACTGCATATTGGGGTTTATCTTGAAATAAATTATTTATCCCCCCCCCAAATTCTGTTTCCGCTTGGATAAATTAAATTGTATTATACCATGGTCTGGGTGAATACTCGATTCTGATTGGCTGCAGGGTGTCCGTTAAAAAGTGATTGAGGACACCTAGTAAAGTAGTTCTGGTGAAACTGCCTGTTTACCATTCGAAATGAATAAATAAATGCGCTGCCCACAACAGCTGTAAATAACCATAGCAACAGGCAGTCAAAGTATCCGTTAACAATTTGCTCTATCAAAACAAACATCTAACGTTAGTTAGATATTACATAGCCAGCCTACTAATACAACAATGAGCGACTTCATTATTTCTTTTAACATTTATGGAGACAACTTTGACGACTGGGATGCTGCTGAAGAAAGAAAAAAGTAAATAAAACGGAGAAACGTTGCAAAGAAAATTACACCGCTGCTGCTCTTAATGAGACCCTGCGGGAGTTTTACGCAGCAGTCCAGACAACCAAGGCAGGAGGAGAGTACAGCGTTTCAAGCCTAAGAAGCCTGTTTGATTAATTGTTTTATGTGTAATAATAATAAAAAAAAAACTATGCCTACCTTTGTGTTTCATGAAAAGAAAAATGCATTTTTGAACCTGAAGGTTACAAGCTGAGCGGACTATAAATATCTCCGGTTGCTAAATAAACCAGGCGAGTTATTATTTGTAAAAACTTGATTTAGCCTAATTAAAATATAAACTAGCAGCTAATGTTTTAAAAATGTTTTATTTGGCAAGTGACCATGGTATAAGCGGGTTAATGCCCTTCGAGGTGTCCATTGTCAGGTTTTAAAAAACCTGACAATGGACACCTCGTCAGGCATTAACCCTTACTTAAATAATCGAGAAGGATAATCAATTGGACCTCTTGAACTTCAGTCATCAAAATGATATCCAATCATTAGCCAATAATGGGTTAGGCCAATAACGATATTGGTGTAAGAGTCGCACCTGTGAGGGTGAGGTCCAGGTTCTTCCATGGGGATGTGAGGTCATCAGGGTCGAGGGTGAGGACCAGATCCCGGTCCAGCTGTGTGTGTGTGTGTGTGAGAGAGAGTGAGAGTGTGTGAGAGAGAGAGACATGATCAGATCTCCTGCTGCGCTCCTGTTGTTACATCTGTTGCTAATGTCAATCATATGTTCTAATGAACCGCCAGGCGAGCATCATACTAGCTGAAGATGTCAGTGATCGTGAGAAGCATTCGGGCTAGCTGAAGATGTTAGCGATTGTAAGGAGCATTCGGGCTAGAGAATGCTGTTATTTTTAAAGGTCCCCTGACATGTTTTTTTAGTATTTTATAATGTTTCCTGGGTTGCCCTCATAAAGTTAGTATATTTTTTTAGATCAAAATAGTCATAATTTAGAAATAAAAGGCATTTTTCCTAGCCTGATTTTAGCCTCTGCTTAGAACGCTCTGTTTGAAGGGGCGTGTCTGCTGTGTGGTATGCAAATAAATATCAAGCTGCACTCCTTCTCTGTCGCTATTTCTCTCAGTCTCACGGTCGAAGTAATCATGGCAACGGATAGCGTGTCCTCCCAAAATGGCGGATCCATCCCACAATGCACCGCGGAGTTATACGCGTGACGTCACCTCCTCATTCTCAATACGTTATATATATACGTTATCAACTTCTAAATTCAAACGTGCTTTCGCGTGTTGGCTGGCACTGAGCCAGTGCTGTCATATCACAACTATTGAGTGTTTTCAACCACATGTTTATTTTAAGTTTCAGACATTTAAATACACATAAGTACTAGCAAAACAATGATTTTGATTTTGCTGATATCTATGGAAGCGGCAATAATAATCCGTTTCATTATATTAAAGCTAGGGTATACGATTTCAAAGATTGTTCATTATTAATATCCTCGTTTAGATGCTGGTTATGGTTATATAGTACAATCCTAAAAATATGAATAGAAAAAAGAACGAAAAAAATCCATTCACTCTATTGGCTGGACAGCCGCAGAAAAGTTGACCAATGTAAGCTGTGCGGCCGCACAGCTTATATTGGTCAACTGCTCTCATCCAATCACCAGCTCCACTTGAAACTCCGCCTGGCGCTCGCGTCTCCAACCCAACCGCACCCGCCCCCCTCCGTGCGTGAGCAAACAGCTGACAGACTGTCTATGGTAGCTAGCTAGTAGCGTCAGATCAGCAATGGATAAAGCAATGGATAAAAATATAAACGACAACAGCAAGCGGCCCCTGCTTACCTCTACTGTAAAGTTTGGACGCAAGAGAAAGTCTGTGGAGGAAAGATCAGAGATTAAAAAGAAATGTGAAGAACGCCGGACTCTAAGTTGGATAAATATAGCGTCCTTCATTGACCATTGGAGAAAGCTTCAGGGAGATCTGGGGCTGAAAACGACGCTGACATGGATGACTTTTTGTTGAGCAGGTAAACATTTATTTATTCTTTTATGGTGTGACGTGTTACGTGGCTTTTTATCAGTTTGACAACTTGCTCATGCTGCCGGTCGGCATTGGAATGTTAGCCGTTTAGCATCGCCGATCGCGGTTCAAAGTAATTATATTTCTTGTTCGAGGTTTCTGTTCGAGCCGATCAGAATTTGAACGAGATGCGCTGCGTGCTGCAATAACAATTACTGAAAACCTTAGCAATACTAGTAGTATTATAATGGTGGTGGGGAGTTTAGAACATTTCATGTGTTGCTAATCTTGCGTTGACGTGAACTCAAACGTGACATACGTCAGGGATCAGGTAGCACAGAGGGGAGGGGGGTGTGTGTGGAGGGGCGGGATGAGTTTTTTAAAACTTCCCTACCGTCTCGACCGATTTTTAACATCGTATACCATAGCTTTAAGACGACACGTTTTATCATTTCAGATACACATTTTGTAGGTAGCTTCACATTTTACCCTATTCTTCTCCCAGTTCACCGGCCTCTTACTTTCATGTCGTGAGAAGTGGAGAAACTGACGTGTTGTAAATCCAACAGATCCGATTCTCTGAACTATCCATCGCGCATACAGCTCAACACGTTGTGAAGGCGTCTAAAAACAACAACACGCTTCCACTTACACATATTTGACAATCGGAATATCAGTGTTTCATGTTCTAGCTAATACATTTGTGAACATCTTTGATAAAAAAAGGACAAATGACAAAAGCAGATTCATTCAGCGCTGTTTCCCGTGACAAGCAATAACGCGTCACCATGAAAACATTAAAATGACAAGTTCTAAATAACGGTCGCCTTGAAAAACTCACGTTGGAGGTCAGTTCGAATAATAACTTACGTGTGAAAGAGAAGCTTGTGCGTAGCTGTGTGGCATATTTAAACTTTGTTGATGTTGTTGTCATGCATGTTCTGGTTATTTGAGCATGATAAAAAATAAGTCTTTATATGGCGATAAAACAAAGCTTTGTCGCGTTTTTTTGTTTTTTGTTTTTTTTTGGTGGGGACTGGGGGTGCGCCAACCCGGTTGGGTGCGCAAGAAAAAAAGTTTGGGAACCGCTGATCTAGGGGAACTCATATTAATGTTAAAAAACCTCAGAAAATGAAAATTTCATGTCAGGGGACCTTTAATGGAACATTGCAGTGTTTATTCTAAATAAGTGAATTCATGATCTTAAGTCAGAATAATTTCCCATCAGCTCTTCTCAGTGTGGGTGATTAACAGCTCAATAATTTCCTTTCAGAAGCCACACACTTACTCAGCTCAGTGCCTGCGATGTGTGTGAGTGAGTGAGAGTCTGTCTATGTGTGTGTGTGTGTGTGCGTGTGCGCGGGTGTGAGTGTGAGCATGTAAGTTTGTGCGTGTACATACCAATGTGTTATACTTCAGTTCTCCAGTGAAATCCTCCTCCATGTCCTCACACTGATACAGACAGGCATCTGAAAGAGAGAGACACACACAGATTAAGTATGTGTGTACGTGTGTGTGTCTGTGTGTTAGGGATGTGACGGTGAGGATATTTTCTCACCGGTTAATCGACGCGCGACAACACCGGTAATAACGGCCACCGGCAGGGGCTTTTAAATCGCTAATTAAAAGGCAAACGTAAAATGCGCGCATTTGCGCGGGTTTAAATGGGCATTCATAATGGTGTGGTAGTGCGGAATAGAACTGTTTTGTTATTGTGCCCTGAATATGCGCTAGTTTGAAAACGAAACAATTTTTTTTTTTAACATCACTTTCACTTTTAAATTAGCGTCAATTCATCCTTCGCTTGGAGTTTGATTGACAGACATGTGTGATCTGATTAGTCAAAATCCACCATTTTTGTCTGACAAAGCAGTCAGGAGAGTTAGTAGATTAATGGTGCGTTCATGTGCTATGGTAATTATGGACGTTTATATATAAACGTCAATTTAAAAATTTTAATACACAGGCTTTTTTGCATGATGTATAGATACAGTCGGTTGGTCTGGGAACGCCCCCGGGAACGCCCCGTCACGTGGTGTGAATTTAGCCCTAGGGGGAAAACATTTCCTTGGCGCTCATTGAAATACATGGGACAATCATGCCGAAGAGTTGCTGTGTCGTTTTCTGTACCACCAATAAAATAACAAATTATAAATTGAAGCTCTACAGCCTTTCTTACATACATACAGGACCAGATAGGAGGACAAAATGGCAAAATTAATCATATCTTATTAGATTACTGTGTGAGTAGAGGTCCCTGTGTGATATACTAGTAGTGGATGTTTTACTCGTATTAGACAGTGGGCCAGATTTGTCTGACGTTTATCCCTTACGAAAAAGAAAATCGTAGTAATCCTATGGCTATTAGTATTTTATAGTAGTGTATAATACTTCTGTGATGTTCTTTAATACCTCTATACTTCTAGGCTATGACCCAAAATACTATAGTATTCCTATAGGATTAACGTTACTATAATATTTTGTCCTAAAATACTACAAGATTCCTTTAGTTGTTTTTCATAAGGGATGTCTCATTGACATTAGCGTTATCAGCTGAAGGTTATCAGACTGCAGTCTGTGAGAATTCGGATAACTGTCAGCAAAGTCCCTCTGCAACTTCGTAGCTACTATACTACTGATCACCGTTTTACAAAAGGATTAATAGTTTGGAGTGAAGCATACGTACAATTGGTAAGTGACATGGTTTTATGGATTTAGTAACTTATACGCAAGTTGATTGAGTAATAGGCTTGTGTTGCAGCTTCCGCGATGTCTTACCTGGAGATTCAACCAGATAACAATAGTCTGGAAACGACACCTCCGGCCATTTGGTTGGGTCATTGACCCAGTTTTTAATTAAATAAGGGCAATCATAACCTATTACAGTTAATTTTTCAATGTACCATTGCCGGTCGGCAGGCATAAATGACTCGCAATATGACATTTTTGTCATTCAAATACATAGGATGGTCGCGCTGCTTTCCCCCACGCCGACCACGCCCCCCAACTATGACGCGCTGCCGACTGTATGTATATAATAGTGATTTACAGTTGGCTTCAATTATTCTGGATGTGGTTGATGCTTGGGATTATTTCAAATCTATCTTTCTAGAAATTTGTGATAAGCATGCTCCTTTACGTAGCCTGACTTGGTCATACTCATATTCAAGAAAGAATATGAGTCTGAAACCGCTCTATTAGGCTTTGATTATGAGGCATGTCGTAACCGAACCAGGAAAAAAAAACACCTCTGCACTCAATTGGATAGTCGGTAGACCTACCAACCAATCAGAGCAACGCATAAGTCAACTCCTTTGCATAGCGCAGTTTTCAAATACAGAACGTAGCCTACTTTATTTATTTTAGAAGTTAAATAACGAGTGTTACTTCTTTTACTTACTTCTCCATGAGTGCCACCAAAGGAGAAACCACAACGACCACAGGCTTTTCATTACGTCCCATCTTCTTAACGACCGTCAGAGTCAGCTGATAAGTTACACTTTTCCCAAATCATGTAGGAAGGACGCCAAAAATATCTTTCCAATCGACAAATGCCTTGATTGCAGTTCTCTGTTAGTCTATTAAAATGAATGCACTGTCGATTTTTTTTTTTACAAAAGACCTGACAGCGGAATCTATACATCTCAATTCTACAGCTGCAGTCATCTTTGACAAGCGCACTTTGATGATGTGAGGATTATGTTACTAAAGACCACCTATCAATCATCGTATAAAGCCCGCCCTGGCAATTTGATTGGCCCGATGATTTCTGAACCGATCATAATTACTCCTCAATGGATCGAGTCCAGACCGAACTTCCCGTCCAAAAAATGTTGTGGGCGGAGTTCGGGCTGGCATCCAGGCTATCCTTTATGTAGATTTCGGGTGAAAGGAAGAAATAATCCTTGGTTCAATGAATCCGTCTCTAATCTTATTAAGCAAAGAAATGTGGCTTGCTCTAAAGCAAAGAAGACAAATGGTGAGGAGGACTGGTCTCAATATAGATTATTACGAAATAAGAGTACAAAATTAATAAAAAGTTCGAGTCAGTATTATTTAAACCTTATTAATGATAACATGAATTGTCCTTCTAAATTTTGGAAATACATCTACTAGTCTTCCAAAAGTTTTAAAAGTCAATGAAAGATTAATAACAGATAAGGTTGATCTTGTTAATATGTTTAATAGTCACTTTGTTTCAGCTAGCTTGTTAACAGACAATTCATTGGTCAATGATGAACAAAGAACAGATGACTTGACTATTAGTAATGCAGATTTATTTTCTTTTGCCCCTGTATTACCATCCCAAGTTCATAAACTACTCTCAAATTTAGATTGTAGGAAATCAGGCGGGTCTGACCGAATTGAACCAACAATTGGCTGCAGATATTATTGCCGAACCTATTGCATCGATTTTTAATTTGAGTATTTCCAGTAATGTAATTCCGCCACCTTGGAAATCGGCTATGGTTATGCCATTATTAAAAGGAGGCGATCCTTCTGATTTGAATAATTATCGTCCGATTTCTAAATTACCGGTTTTAGCAAAAGTTTTTGAGTCTATTTTAAATGATCAATTGAAAGAGTTTCTACACAGTCGTAATATTTTGAACTCATTTCAGTCAGGATTTAGAGCAGGCCATAGTACGATAACAGCTACTACATCAGTTACTAATGATTTAATCACTGCTCTTGATAAGAGACAACATTGTGCGCCTTATTGGTTGATTTGACAAAAGCATTTGACTTGGTAGATCATGTCCTACTGTTACAGAGGCTTAAAAGTGTAGGCCTCGATAATTTAGCTGTGAGTTGGTTTAAAAATTATTTATCGGATAGAACTCAATGCGTTGCTGTAGATAACTACACCTCATCCATGGAAATAGTCAGGAAATTGTCCCGCAAGGTTCTTTACTGGCACCACTTCTTTTTTCTATTTTTATTAATGATTTGGGACAGGGAATACATTCGGCAAAGCTACATTTTTATGCTGACGATACAATTATTTACTCTACTGCATCCTCTATTTCTCAGGCTATTGAAATTCTTAAGGATTCCTTTTATACTTTCCAGCTTACTTTGTTGAAACTGAAATTGTTTTAAATGTAAATAAAACGAAGTATATTATTTTTACATGTAGCCGTTCTATGTCTACTACTGTGCCTATTCTGACTATTGAGGGTTTACATATAGAAAGAGTACCAACTTATAAATATTTAGGAATATGGCTCGATGAGAAGTTAGCCTTTGATGTTCACATTAATTACTTGGTGAAAAGGCTTAAACCAAGACTGGGTTTTCTTTTTCAAAGAAAAAAAAAATGTTTTTCCTTTACAGCTAGAAAGAGAATAATACAGAGTACTATTTTACCTATTTTAGACTATGGTGATGTTGTTTACATGCATGCTTCTACATATCTATTGAAAAGGCTGGATGGTGTGTATCATGCTGCGCTGCGTTTTATAACAAATTTCTTGTTCACGTTCTCATCATTGTATGTTGTACAACTATTTGGGTTGGTCCTCTTTATATCAAAGAAGAAAATCCCATATGTTAGTATTTGTTGTAAACACATTATTGGGTATGCTTCCAAATTACATTACTAGTCTTCTATGTACATGTAGAAAGAACTATAACACTAGATCATCTAATGGGATTAAATTAGTAGTACCTAGGGTACATTCAGAGCATGGGAAATCATCCATGGCTGTGAAACGAATTTCAAGCTACTGTCTCTCTAGAAACTATTCCTCCTCTGAATGTTTTTAAAAACCTACTGCAGTCTGCAATGAGTGAATCATGTTGTTGTTTTACTTGATTTATGATGAATATTGTGCTCTGACTTTCTGGAATGTTTTACATGTGTTGTGTGTTTGTGTGTGATTTGTAGTGTGGCCATCTTGGCCAGGACTCCCTGGAGGAAGAGATTTCTTTTAATCTCAATGGGACCTTCCTGGAAAAATAAAGGAAATAAATAAATAAACAAATAAATAAAAATACCAAAAGCCGACGTGGAAAATGCACATGAACACCCCCTCGTGTGGTATTTTCCACTGGGCAACTTGTAGAATATTTTGATGGACAAGTTGCCAAGATGAGATAACTTTTGACCTTTTCAAAATGGTGGAGAGCACCGTGAGAGTTGTGAATGGTAAAAATATATACTATTCATGATCTAGAAAATATACAGCATATTATTTACCTTTTGAGTTTTGATAAATCATTTTCTTGCTGTTGCAGATGACTTAAACAATCTAAAATTGTTTTAGCTAAATAACAGGTCTGGATCTCCCTCTTTTTACCACATTACGACAACAAAAGCACTTGAACGCAACACACTGGTAAATACCAGTTCACAAATGGAAAATATCCTATTTTCCATAGCACATGAACGCACCATCACGTCGGTGGAACTTGGCTTTATCAGGCAATCGGTCACGACACATTAAAGAGCCACAAAACAGTAGGC